ATCCCAGTTCCCCACTTTCCCGTTTCCCCGCCTCCCCGTGCCCCCGCTTTTATTAGATATGTCCTCCGGAAAATATACCCTTCACGGCTACAGCGATTTTCAGCGAGATTCATTAGTAAAAAGACAGAAGCCAGTGATGACGGTCACCCCCGATAGACTTCTCAGGAGCTCGCAAGAATCCGCCCCCTCATGGTGGTCCAGCCGATAAGGAATCCTGCGAATTCCCGTCTTTCCCTCGATGAAATCTTTGATTCTCGGTGAGAGGACAACTCAAATAATTTTCTCATGGTGGGAGGACCCATCACATGAGAACGACGACCCTCAGATGACCTTCCTGAAGCTCCCGGGAACCCACCCCCGAATTTTCACGGCGATCGGTTCAGGCGTTTGTGAATTGAACGAATTTGCGATTTTTCAATTTTTTCCCGAGATTTCGTATTTTCGTGGGTAAAGCACTCAAATATTTTTTTTAAGGTAGAACGACTCATCGCATCGGAGAACTGACCCCCTATAACCACCGCTGGATCGCCCAGAACACGCTCCTAAATTTTCACGACGATCGGTTCAGCCGTTTTCGAGTCTATAGGTGACACCAGACAGACAAACAGACATACGTTTTTACATATATAGATGTAAGTTTCTCTCCACACACTGGCTTTCTCGACAGGCGCATCGGCGGATTCGCCGCACGAGACTCTTGCGCGGATTCCATATCTCGCTTTGAATCTCGGGAGCCACCCTTCACTTGCCTGGAACTCTGGATGCTCTAACATTCTCGAAAACTGCAGAGCCTTTTCGCAAAGCAGCGGACCAGACACCGGGACGTTCCTGGATCGAACATTTTGGAGCCAGATGAATGCTGCTCTGTCGATATCTTCGTACCGAGCTGTCCTCAGGATGCTTTGTAACTTGAGCGCACGCGAAGTTGAGCGCGCAATAAGTCAGAGCGCGAAGTGAATCGGAGCGCAAAGTAATTGGCTATTTATCAGATACTGATACAATAAAACTCCATTGTCTCAAGTCTAATGTTGGATTTTTCCTTGTTGTCCTTTACAGAGAGGAAACTGTCTGATGAGGGCATAACTTTTCCCGATGTCAAGAGTTTCCCCATGACGGTTCCGAGGACCACCGAACTCGGGGATAAAGAATTTTCGACTGTCCACAATGACATGTCGTGTGGCAGAAGAGCACCAAGTGTGCTTTAGCATGATTGAAAATGCCTGTGTGCCAAGGAATCGTGGAGCCACTGTTCGACCCCGTGGTGTGCTTAAGGCCACCCGGGTTAGATCAAGCTCGGTCGACCTTATCACATCAGTATTAGGCAATATTAATTATTGTGAAAATAAAGAATGGTACTTTGAGGCTTGATTCGGATTGTTTTCCATATGGTGTTTGTCGATTTTCGGGTATTTCGCTGGTAGTAGCTTGCACTGGTGGTTGTTTCTCACTGGTCCAGTGTACCCGACCCTCGCGAGCACTCGCCCCCATGCAGTCCGTCCAATCCGACATTCGCCCTCAAGCGCACCCCGCCCGATCTGCTCCAAATGGTCTTTTAATTTGGCCATGCGGTTTAGGGTGGCTTTGTTAGAAGACCGGTCTCAGAACGATCTGTTCGCCCAGGAGACTCTGTTCGAGTTCAATTAGTTGGACATGCGTTGTTTGGATTCATTCGGACATGGGTCAGTTTCATGGTTTGAGGGGAGAGACCCGGACCGTGTTTCGTAGCTTTTCGATCGTTCATGCTTGGGTTTTTCACTTGATCTCGAGTACTCTCCGCTCCAGTCACCACTCTTTCCCTCGCTATTGTTTAGCATAAAAGACATGCTGTTTTTGATCTCATTCACTCTACCCCTAGCCTCCGAGTTCTTTGTGCTCAAGATCACACAGTGACCCAGCGTGTTCAGCCACCAATCCCCGATCTCACCCAGATTCCCCATCCTTTCAACATGTTCATCGGTACCGGAGTCGACAAGAAGACGTCAGAAGCCCTTGCCCGTAGCAGGGAGCTCAATCGCGGTCTCCTGGAGCACTTCTGTGAACACAAGCCCTCCGATGGAGAAAGACAACTTCTGGATATTCAAAGACTCATTGACGAACTAGAGTTTTCTGGTGGGAAAACCCGTGAAGAAGCCACCGCCGAAGCCATTGAAAAATGGCAAACTTTCAATGGAGAGATGAAGGATGTATATCTTGAGGAGAATCTATACTATTGGCTTGATCTTTTACTAGGAGATGAGGAGCGCGAGGAGGAGCGCAATGTGGCGCGTCTCTGCATGCTCAAACTCCTCAAAACTCGTAGGATCTACCGGAACGAGGTCGGTGTGCTGAAGGGACTTCTGCATGACGCGCAGAAGCGTGTGGCAGAACTGGAGGAGGAGAAGAGAGGGTCTCCCTCAAAAGATTAAATGGTGACCTCTTCACCAACAGGCTGCGGCTCCACCGGTGAATCCACATCCTCCGTCGTTGGACGGTAGGGATTATCTTCGGTGGCTCAGGTACTCTTTGATACCTAGCTCGCAATCTGTTATTTAACTTCCTCATCAGGTATATGCTTGTTAAGAGTGTTGCAAATAAAATGTCTGCAGTAGCGATTACTTTCCAAACCACGCAGTCTTCTTTTACAATTGGTTTGGGAGGGATTGGTCTCTGTCTATACCAGATCCATAATTCTCTGCCTCCTAATGTGGCTTGATCTTCGGAGATGCAAGGTGTCTCATCGTCATCATTGTTCTGACACACCATAGTGCTCACGCACTGTACGTGAAACATATCTCCGATTTATTTTCTTATACGACATGGTTGACCGCGTGATTCGCATTCATCACCACAATCATTGTATGAAAAATATCCGTGAGTATAAGCTATGAGGGTTAATATGATGAGTGCTATTGTTAGCCTCATGCTTTCCAGACTGTTAGACCGGATAGCTCACGCTGTTTCAGGAATACCAATTTGTTGAGTGGCTTGGTCAGCCAGTCGACTCGCTGGTACTCCGTTGGTATGTAGGCAATATCGATGTCTCCTTTGTCGTAGTGGTCTCTGATGAAGAAGTATTTTAGTTCGATGTGTTTTGTTCGTCTATAGGACTGAGGATTTTTGATGAGCTTGATTATCCATTTGAATTGTAAGTTTTTCTTCTTTGCCTAATTCTCTCAATAGCTTGGTTAACCATTGGGCTGCTTTTACACTTTCTGCTGCTGCATAGAATTCGGACTCGCACGAACTGAGAGCGATGTTTGATTGCCTTGTCGTGTTCCACACGTCTGGTCCTGACTGTCTCATGATCAGTGTTCCCGACGTCGACTTTCTGTCCTCAATTTTTGAGCCGTGGTCTGCGTCAGAGAATACCACTGTTCCTTCGTCAGAGTTGCTTTTGTATGTGATGCCGAACGATGGGCATGACTTCAGGTATCGGAGTATCCTCTTTCCTGCTTCCAGATGCTCAGGTGTATATTTATCTAGGAAACGACTGAGATATGAAGTGGCGAACGCCACGTCGATGCGGCAGCCACTGGTCATATAGAGGACTGATCCTATCAATTCTCGGAAGTTCTCG